TTGTAAAAAAAAACCTGGAACGCTTATCAGATTTGTTGCGAGTTCTTAAAAAATCTGAAAAATATTTTTTAAGCACATGTACTATCATCGCCTAATAATGAATCTTTTCATTTTTAATCTTATAAAGTTAAGAAAATAACCCCATTTTTAATAAAGCCAAGTTAATATTACCCCTTAAAAGCAAAATGGTTTCTGGCAAAGAATTTTGATTATTTAATTTTTTCTTTTCATTTGTAGTACTTGGGAACACATTATAGTTAGACTTTGTCCAAGGCAATTACATTTTCTACATTACAAGAAAATAGAGTGAGAAGACTATATTCGCTTATTTATCACAGACATTATATCATCGGACAGACGGACGTACTTAAATTGATTTAGAATTTGATGCTGATCAAAAATGTATTGTAACCTATGGAATTTATCAAGTTTTTTTCTTCATATTGCATATGCCTTGAATATATCTATCCATCATATTGCACTGTACTTAACATTCCAGTAAATGTTAATAACATTAACAGCATCTTAGCGTAAAATGTAATGAAAAGCTTTTCAAGATGCTCTCCATAATATTTCTTCATTATAAAAGTTAACTTTTTTCCTACATTAACCTACCTACATACACATACATGCTTTACTCTTTTATTTTTGTTATCACTCATACGTCAAGGTGTATGCTTAATTTTAATAATCAGTTATCTTCGAAATGTTGTTGAATACACAAAAACCAAAGGAATAGAAACGCGTGAAACAAAAATATGTTATGTGTTAACAAAAATATATAAAATTATAAAAATAATGAGAAATGTTTTCCTAAACGAAGTTTTTTTATCGCAAAAAAAAAAAAGAAGAGAAAAGGAGAACTTTTGTAAAACAAAAAAAAAATAAAAATTGTGTTATTTGAAAAAATTTTATTTTCTCAAATTAATTTTGAAAAACAATGCATATTAAATGAAGTAAAGGTGTTTCCTTGCTCTAAGTTTGAAGGCTATTCATTTTTTTTTTTTTTTTCAACAATTTTTGTTTTGTTTTTTACTTTTTATGAAAAGTATTTGTGGATGCGTGTGCTTATGTGTGTGTGTGTGTGTGTGCCTTTGTATGCTTGTATGCCTACAGATTATAGAATTTTTAAGAAATTGTTTCGATGTATTTGTGCTGAACATAGCAGTTGAAGCATGAAGTTAAAGATGAAATTTTTGCGTAGAGTCTGTCTTGTCTTTTATAACGCTATTGCTGATATCCGTGTGTATAATTATACATATTTATGTACATTTTATATATGTATGTAAGCAATGTTTATATTAGTGTAGGCGGTTATTATGTTGTTGCTTTTTTACTCTTATCATTTTCTTTTGTATTTTTTCTTTTTTTCTTTTTTTTTTTTTCTTTTGAATTTTATAAAATAAAAAGCAAAAAAAACAGGTACCGTTCTTTTGGTGTTTTCAACACAACAAAGAGAAATATTAGTTAGAGCATATTTTTCTTGTTGTCTATGCTGTTGTTAATCCTTTTTTGTTTACTACTCTTGTGTAAACTCTCCTAACGAATGTTATTGCGTTTTAATTTAATATTTCATTATATTTTACACATATATACGCATTTTAGTATTATTTATTATGCTCCTTCTATTTGTACGCATAGAGCACATATGCGTACACTGTACATATGTTTACATGTAACAGCATACGTAGTCATATTGCTTAATGGTTGAACTTGAAAAGTGTAACGGAATTTCTGTCTTAACGATAGGGTAAGGGATTGTTGTTTTTACTTATAAATCCAATCAAACTGCACTGACACAGCCATGCTGATGTAAATCTTTATATTAATTAAAAAAATATTTAAACGGTATTGGATTGGCAAGAAAGTGCTTTCGTTATTATCTTAGTTTCTTCATCGTATTGATATGATAGAGAGGGAGGAAGAAGAGGCGAAATCTATATTTTCTCGGAGTTTTAATTTTTTGCCAATCTGTTATTTGAAATTTATACTTAGAGAGTTTCAATTACTGCTTAATATCATGGGTCGAATCACTAGAAAGTGTTGCATTTGTTTGAAATTATCCAACGAAGTTGAGATGAATCCAATGGCAGTTTCTTGCTTAGCTTAATGTTTATAAAATTTTTTGTTATGCAGAAACTTTCTCTTTTGCTTCTACGATGGTTATTGAAGTTCCGTAAACTGAAGCATAATATTTATGCTTGGATATTAGGAAAGGTGTGCCCAAGAAGTTTTAGATGTGAGCATGAGATCGTCGCATAATTCGGTTAAGTTGTGATATATTTTCTGTTTTCATTCCGAGATTGATTGTAATCAACTAAAGCTAACTAGATTTGATCAATATTGATATTGATATGCTAACCAAGGCGAGTGAAATTTTGAAAATGAAAATTTTATTGAAAATCGTTATTAACATACACCGTCACTTACCTTGACGTCTTCACACACCGAGAACTTATGACTTTGGGTAATGTTTTTGCTTTTTCGAAATTAAAACAAATTTTTAAATTACTTCCTTAAGGAGCCGTCACACATTTCAACTTTTGTTTATTTACATACATATATTTGATTTATGTGTGTAGAAAGAACATGCGTATGCATCATAGTCATTAGTTGCAGTGTATGATCCCAATTACGTGTTTAGTGCTCAATTGCTACACTTAGCACGTAGTTAAGTTATGAAGTCAAGCCCTGTAGATCAAGTACTTTAAAATGTATGTCAAATGTATGAAGAGAATAATTTATTTTTGTAGCAATTCATTCCCAAAAGCCCGTTCACATATTGTTAGTTTGAAGCTTGTTCAAAATTCCAGCACTAAATAAGTTGCAAACTAACATCTCTGTCTCTGCGCTTTCCCGCATTGAGTCGATATTCGCGTCACTTATATAATTCTTTTCCATTTTATTACGACATAAATGATTTCAAAGGTATGAAGGAGGGATCGATAAGCGCGATCACCCACAACCACTAGCTCTAATAAAGTTGCCATAACCGAATAAATTCGAATAATTCGCAAACTTTATAAGAAAGAAAAGACAAAAGAAAATTCGAAAAGTTCTACATTTTCGAAATTCTCCTTATCAATTGGAGACAGTTCCTGATACCACTATGCAAGCAGGCAAATTGAATTAAGAGTCCTTTGGTGTGTTAAATAAAAACAAAGTAAATAAGTTTCTTATGTAATTAAATCTTCATTTTATTTATATCCAAGCATTCCTTTGGGTTCTTGTTCGAAAGCTGCCTCTAAAGCATCCAAACTAATTTTGCATTTTTATACCGACTAACAAGGGATGAGAGTTGTATTCATTTTGTGACAACGTTTGCAACACTCAGCAGGAAACGCCAGACATCGATTCAAGCATATCCGTCTGTTTGGCCGTCTGTCTGTATAATGCCTACGGTAAACATTCTTATGCTAGTAAAAGAGAACCATTGAAAGTTCTAACAAGCAGGTTGGTATTGAAGTTTGGCCAAATCGGTCAAAAGGCACGATTACAGTGCAGCTTAACTTAAGTCTATCTCTGTTTTCCAAAATAAAAAAAAATTATTATTTTTTTTGCTTGTTGCTGCACAAAACATACAACTTTCTAAGGACAGGATCTCTATAAATATGAAAAATAATCTCTCTATTCAATAGAAGAGGATATTAAAACTAAAACGTTTGAAGCATTCACAAAGAAGCACTAAAGACTCTACAAATTCTCCATATTATATTATTGATCACTATTGATCAGTCCGTCTGTCCATCTGCCTGTTGTATGCTATGATAAACGTACTCATGGTAGCTTCTTTGAATTTCGCAAAAACTGGAAGGTGTTGCACGAAAGTTGATATTGAAATGTGGTCCCGCCCACACTTCAATGTAAATTAAGAATCTCTAACCTTTCTGAGAATTTCACCCGTTACGCATATAGACAGACGGTGTAAAACTTTACTTTTATTTTACAAAAGTGGAAAACATCAGTCGGGTCTCACCAAATATTATATTATTAAGAAAATATTGGTTTCTTTCGTTTTGCTAGATTTTGCGAGTAAGATGCGCATAAAAGGATTCAATCGTAACCGAATAATATTTTCTTACTTATTTAATTTCATTTCTTTCCATTTCCATTCCAAGTGAATTTTTTGATTTAAAAAACTAAACTTTTCATAAGAAATGATTTAATAAAACCCGAAACCAAAAAAAAAAAAAAAAAATATTATAAATGAAAAATTTATAATAAGTTTTTCATAAGAAAATGCCAGCCATAAAAATACTTTAATTTTACGTTGGAACGAACTTGACTTTTATTTGGAAATTTCTTAAGCTATGAACTCTAAACTTTTGTCAGCTACTTTCGCATTATTAAATATTACAATCAACGTTTCGCCGAATGTTTGCATGCATGGGGATATTCATCCCAGGCAAACACAATTTATTTAAGTATTCATAGATTTCTTGATGTTTTTCTTCAAAAAGCAATTTGATATCGAATGAAAATTAAAAATTAACAATCACTTGTCAATTCTGAGGTAATTATAAACTTTTACTTTAAGCAAAAAATAAAAAAGAAGATGCAGCAATATTTCACATTGTCGCTGCTACTGTGTGCGAATAATTATCGAAACATTGAAATGTCCGATATATGTCATTTATGGCAAAATGTGAATAACGTGTATGTATATATGTAATGAAATTTCCGGGTTTGATATTTATTTTTTCATTTATTCTTTTCTTTCATTTTTTTTTTTTTTTTTTTTTTTTTTTTATTTTTTTTTAATTCTTTTTGTATTTAGTTAGAAAATTTTAAAAATGAGTGAAACTAAAACTTGGTTAGTTGCTTAAATGAAAGTGAATTATTTCGATAGATGTTAGTGACTACTGTGTCAATACTGTGCCTCAACACTCAGTAAAAAACTTGAAGTTCTTTGTTAATTAAAGTTTTTTCCAATCTTCAACTTTATTAAATTGAAACGAATTAATTAATAAAATAAAAGATTCGCTTTTCTTAATTACTTAGCTCGTATTATATATATGAAGAGTGTATTTGCTCGTTAAGCAAGATTCAACAACTTTTTATTTATTACAATTTCATAAACGTTAACGATGACGAAGTCAAAATTTTCCACCGAAAAGTAACATAATAAAATCTCTAAGAATTCCTTTCAAAGCTTTATTGTATGCGCTATCTTGTTGTTCCTGAGATCGATATATAAAAACGTTTGTGAAAACATATTCTTGGCTCTCACTTGGTAAACGAATCTACTACTTTCCACACTTCGACAATGGTAAGTAATTCAATCGAAGAATCTTCAATGATTGTATGCACACTTTATGTTCATATATTCATAAGACGAGAATATAATATATATTAAAAATAAGATTGAAAGACTTGAATGCATCAACTTTCCAATTGCTTTTGCTCCAACTAAACGTGTCACCCAAACATTAAGCGAGGACCGGCCGTCTGCCTGCCTGTTCTTAAAACACTCAAGTTCGCAAGTTCATCAGTATCACAGTTGGAAAAATTCGAAGAAAAAACTGGAACTTACCGCTTAAAATGGGAACTAATCGACCATAAGTCAATAAATGTCTATGTCCATATATCCATCCGCTCCATTTCTTTGGCTTGATTCAAACCCAAGTTATGAAAAACGTATTCTTCCTTTGGCACCATAGACGATGTTTGCCAAGAACATACGTAAAATATATGTTTGTTAATATTGACCGCAATCATATGGTATTAGTTCGTTTAGGCGAGTCATGCCGTCTTATAATCTTTGCTACTTTTCAGCGAATTTTAAATAAATTTTCATAGTACAAGGCTTAGTTCTTAAATACAATGACGCATAGTTGCTTAAAACAGCTACCACGGAAATGCGATAATGTCTTCTCTTGACTTTTCATTCAGTTGCGACTCAGAAGACTCAGATTTGCTAAATTCACATAATTTTTATCGCAAATTTTCAATTTTTATAATAAAATATTATAGTTGAACATTAGATCCTCGAAACCACTTCACCTCGTACAGTTCCTCTAATATCTGCATTAAAAATATTAAAAAACTATATCTTGTAGCGATAGGAAACCTTTAATTTCGCAACAGAGCTTACATTGGGGAAGTGCGAAAAAACGGTTCCTTGTGCCACACATCGTCTATACGTCATATCCCATTCGTCATTTCTTTTTCATTTTCATCGAAAGGTATCGAAAATTAAACCTACCAATACCGTATGAAAGTTGATTGCTTATATAAACATTTACTTGCGATAGGATTAAGAGGAAGCATCGCATTTTATCCAAAATTTTCCATAGTCATTTTATAGGCCAACGTAACATATTTCAGAGACTTGTGTTGAAAAGTATTAAAAACGCAATATATATGTCACGCCCACATTTTTTCGGAAAGAGTTTGGTCTAAATCAATTTCAATAGATTTTACCCTTGGATCGAATTTTCATGTGGCTTGATTGCAAGATACATACAGATAAGTCTCGGAGTCGGACGGACGGCCAAGTCTGGATTTAGGAAATAATTCTGAATAGATTCGTATAATAAACGGAAAATGTACCCCAAGTCCGTCTGAATCGTGTATACTTAACACATCTCTAGTACAAGTTGTGTAAAAAGTAGGGTGTGAAACGACAGTGACATTTGTGAATATCATGCATTATATAACTAAATATGTAAAATCGACCACTGAACAGTAAGTACAAAAGAAAAATTATTTAAATTATTTAAGCAGTTCGCTGGAAGCGCTTGATGCTTTTGATGAACAGACTATATCGCACCTACCAAATTTTCAATAGATCTTAATGGTTCCCTAAAGAGCAGTTTCTTCATTTCGAAGTCTCTTCAATTTTTATTCAGATTTTCAACATAAAATAGCGATATTTGAAGGATAACAACACTGTTTCCCACTGTACCTAAAAACTATTTTGACAAAGGCATAATGAAGCTATACTAACATATACATATTTTTTTTTTTTTGGGAATACTTCTAAATGAATACATGAACATCTTTCAAAGACATCTTTTAGTATATTCGAGATATTAGAAATAAACAAGGTGTGTAGGTGCATGCAATGGCTAGGTAGACTTTTATGCAAGAAGACAGAAATTTCAAGGAAAAAATTGTATGCAATTAATGAATGCTTTTCCACGTATTCGAGAAATTTCAAGGCATCCATTATATATATCGTAAAAAAAAAAAAAATTAACTTTTGTTAGTGGTACCGCTTGGACAATATTTTGCACAATATTCAGATTACATGGGATTATTTGGAAATTCTCGGCTGGTTAGGTAAACTTTATCTATGAGCAGAAATGCAAACATTTTGCACGGGTAAGGGCGTAACGCTTACGAACGAACAAAGTTTTTATAAAAAAAAAAAATTCTTGCAGGATTGTAAATCTACGTCATTGTTTCCAAATAATTTTATTCAATCGGTAGCTGGTCTTATTTAAGAGGACTATGCATAAGACCAGTGCTTTAGTTTCTCGGAAGTCTCGTCCAACGAATCCAGAAAGGGTTTTAAAAAAAAAAAAAAAAAAAAAACAGTTAAAGCTTAAAGTCATAGTGTAGTTTAAAGGAAGTAGTAAAGGAATTTCGAAACCCTCTCTCTCTCTCTCTCCCTCTCTCTTCCTTTTTATTTTTCAAAAGTTTCACCTCGCTTGACTTAGGACCTTAGGAAAATATTTTTATCACGTTGTGCTTGCTATGAGACAAAAAAGTTTTAAAAAAAGCCTGAAATGGTTTTTTTCCTCATATTTCAAAGCCAAGCAAATCCCTTCTCAGTGGGAATTGGAATACTCGTAAAATGTTTGTCGTTTTCCCATTGACTCTAGACCAGTGCGCCGCTTATTGCGTTCATTTGTATATTTTTAGGTTTTTGAAATGAATGTCATTGACGGCTATCAAAATTTGTTAACGGGACTTATATTTGTTGCAATGGTGCGACTTAGAAAATTTTACTTATGAGGCTTTTGTTTGCTAAGGTGGCAGCAAACCAAAGCAATTATATAATCTTCCCTTTCACATTGCCTCGGAAGATTCACTGGAAGTGTATTTTTTTTTTTTTTTTCTTTGACTAAAAATACAAAAGTATTTCCATCGGATTATTTGTAAACAAAGTATTTGACAGAAATGCACTTAAGTCGGTTGAAAGCGTGGGAGCTGTAGGAATTAATGTTTAAGAGCTTGAACATTTACTTTTGCGATTGTTGCTCGTGTTGCAAGTGTTACACTATGTTTCGAAAACTATAAAAAACTATATATACATTATATGTATGCATACAACACTATGTATAGTAAGGTCAACAAAATTTCTTTCGCCTTTACGAGGCGAGATGGATGGCCTATTGAAACTAGAGCAATTTATTGTAAGAATATTCCAACAATTTCTAAACATTTTAAACCATAATCTTATTGAGTACGATTCATGCTCTGTAGTACATATACGTATTATATTGTTTCTGAATACATTTTAATGGGCAATCTTTTATGCCCTCTGATGAGTCCGGGTATGCATAATGAATTTCTCGGTGCATTGCTTTGTTAGTAAGTGTTCCAAAAAATATTAATTTTGTTTCAATGCAATTTGATTTTCCTCCATTAATAGATGCTTGGCGTATAAGGACATGTAAGCGCATTTGTTCCACGTCATGTATGTATGTACATGCATTTGCGTCTAATTACACATATAAATATATATTGAGCACATTCACAAGAGCATCAATTTCATTTACGTGACTAGAGCAAAACAAGGCATAAATAAAAACACAATCACACACACTTACAGATATATATATATACATTCATGCATACATATATATATATATATATATATATATATGTATTTGCCACAAAATATATCTCAACCTATTAGAGCGATAGTAAAGCTGTTAACCAGGCATGCAAGCAGAAATATTAAAATGCCTGTTACACGTACCCCTCTCTGTATGGGGATGAAAATGTACACAATTTCAAGCTTGAATGCGGTGTACATGCCACACATAAACTTTAAACGACAAGTGTTGCGAATTAATCTATTAAACGGTTTGCGGTTAATTGCTAGACTATCTCCTTTTTTATGTAACCACAATCTTTCAGAAGGGATCTATTCTTGATTTGAATTACGCAAACTGTGATTTATGTCTTCCTGGAGGGAATAGTTTTGATTTTCTTAATACAAAATTTGGCGTAAAGCAAGAATACCCCATCCGTTGTAGCTGATTTCTGGCACTTTTCAGTTCTACAGATATTCAAAATTTTTTCTCTTTACTCAGAGTAATGAAATGACATTGTTTATACCCTGCACTATTCGTAATAAGTTCTATTAAATTTGCGCGGATGTATGCTACCCTCAGAAGGCTCTAAGACATAATCATCTTTTATGATACTAATCGGGATTCTGATTCGATTTATACATGTTTTGGAAATTTGGAGAATTTGGAAACAAATTTTGGAATTCCCTTCAACGTTCAAAACAGTTCTGTAAAAAATCAACCTTCATAAGACATCAATATTGAGCTGTAAGTATTCTATGTTGAAAGTTGGTCGAGCTTCGACATACAGATTGACTATCGTCAATTTGGTCGAAACAAATCAATCTTTTGGACTATCACCCTTCAGAGGTGATTTCATGACTTTTAAACCCTTTGTTTTTTTGATGAGGGACACAGATGTAGAACTGTATTAGACAACACACGAAACTCTTGAGATAGACCTGCCTTGTGTTGCACCGATTGATCGATTGATGAGAGTCGCTTTTTGAATTCTTTTAAGCGTGTCTGCCCATATGTCCGTTTTTTTCTTGTGTTTAAACAAGCAGGCCGCCATTTAAAATTAAAGGATGAACGCTATCGAAAATGGTTTAAATGGGACTACATTTTCCTATATAACGTCTTATTTCGAAAACTTTAGTGTGGTCTTATATAACAAATGTAATTGCACGTTCGACTTTCTAAATTAGCGTATGAGGATTCGCTTAGTTCGTATATGAATCGTGCGATGAACATTTGAAATTTCAGGAATTCTTTTATTAAAAATAATTCTTTATTCATTTTTACGAAACTTAACACAAACTGGTGCAGGATACAAAAAATCATTTTTCCCTGTTGATATTCTGTCTCTTTTAGACACCGAGCATCCTAGTCACGTTGTTTAGCGCACACGAATTCTTTATAATACACTATTACTATCTCTCTTCGGAAGACTGGCTTTGAATTTCGCTCCCTCTTCTCTCATTTAAATAATGTTTCAGTCAAGAAGAAAGCACAAAAAAAA